CCCTGTCTTGGCCTAAAACCAAGTTCAACAGTCATTGCCTTACATTCTTTAAGCTTTGCTTCAGGGTTATATTAGGATGCCTATCACAGCAAATGTTTGTAAAATTTTCTCTTAACTTTATGCTATCTACATCTGTCTTCTATTTTTCTCTTTCGAACGGCCTTGGCAGCCAGCAAACACAATCAGGACTGCCCTTTATCCTCTAAGCACGATGGACTTTGTTGTTTACACTTGGGTATTCCTCGTGTACTTTGAAACAAAACCCGTTGATTCTCAATCCATTTGGTTCTCCACTAAACTAGATATCACACTGTTAATTAACTTATTTTAGATTTTCTTGGAAATATGTCGATTAATTGTACTGTTGGAAATCAATGTAAGTGGGACCCACATTGTTATGGATGTCTTGGCTTTAGAATATCCAGTCTAGTTTATTTCCCCCTCATTACATAATTAAGGAGAGAGCTCTGTGCTGGGTGACAAGTCTGATTAGGCTCATAGCTATGAGAATGAGAAAGCTTGATATCTAGGCTGCTGGAAGAGCTATGATGAGCTTCAGGCAAATTGTTGATTTAGTATGTTTAAGCTGCATCCTTCGTCCATCCTCCCCAAAGTTATTTAACTGAGTTAAGGTGATTTTACTGTTATTTTAACTCTAGAACTTGGTAGAAACTAAAAGCCAAAGGTAAACCAGCTGCCTGGTAAAACAGAGTTAACTAGAGTTGGAAAAATATATGTCTCCCAGTTAATGTCACGGAATGATATTTGTTACCCCTTTGTACGTAGAGACAGTCCTCAGATTTCACAGCCTCACTTGAGTAAAAAGGAGCTTAAGGGAAAACAGACAAGAGCATGAATCAGTGAACACAGCTGTCTACTGCACTGTGAATGAGCAAAATGTTAGCTGTAAAGAAGCAATGGTTTATTTTGACATAAGTGACTAGGAAAATGAGGTGATTAGAAGAGTCAATTTGTGATGTATTTCGAGGGTTTGGGAAAAACTCTGATTTGTGAGCTGGAAACAGATGAGAATACTGATATTACTTGAGCATTTCTAAATCACTTGCCTAAAGCTCTCTGAAAAATCTGATTTTCTATATTCCTTAACCATATTGTGTTTGTAAATTGCATGGCATGTTAAAGCTTACTGCTTTCTGGGCATTCAACGACTGAGTGGAGATGCACATTTGAAGAGCAGCCAGTACCATATGTTAATGTTCATGTCCTTTCCCATGAAACGGTGGCACTGCTGATCCAGCCGGTTTGTCTGAAGGTGATTTTGTTCCAGTACTGGAATAAACTGCATCTACACATTCTAATTCTTTTATGCTGCTTCTGTTCTGACCAAAATTTGGGAAATTGGGAGAGATCTTAGAGAAAGGAGAGGTAACAACATCATAGGTCCAAGACCATGTGGGAAGGATGCATGTTTAAATCCATCACGGGAGGCATCCAATAGGGTGTATGTATTTAAACGGAGTTTCTTCCAGCATTTTCCAAGTTTATGGACCATCAAACTTGTCTACAAAAAACAAAAACACACAAATAAAAAATCAGGCATCAATGTACTTTGTGATTTTGGGTATTTTTTTGTGAATTTAAATGAAAATATAAAATGTGTACAGAAATGTGCAAACATTATACATGTATAGCTGGATGAATTCTTACAAATTATATAACCAGTAAATCAAGAAAGAGAATATTACTAGCACCCTGGAAACATCTGGAAGCCTCCTTCTAGTCAGCACTCTTCTGTAAGAATACACCTATTCCTCACTTATTGACTACCTTGTTTTCTGACATGTTTCATTTACAGAGCCTTTGAACAAATACTTAGGCATCTCATCCACTGGTTCAGACCACACATAGGATCAAAGTCAGGCCCAGAGTACCCTCTGTGGTCAACTCTACCGTATACCAGAGGTCCTGTGACAACTAGGTCCTATAAAGGATGGCACCTAGCCATCTCTGGGGTGCCTTCTGCCATTCCTTTGTGATGTCTCAATCTACTAGGGACATGGGGCAAAGGCAGAACAATGTGAGAATGTGCATGGGCAGGAGGAGGTTCAGTGAGGACCCAAAGGTGCCAGGGAAGTCATTGGAGTGAGGCAGGAAGGGGGCTGTTCAAGGTTGTGAGTCCATGGAACTGAGCCAGACAGAATGAATAGGCTCTTTACCAAGGGCAAGAGATGGGGTACACTTGACCATCATCATCACTACCACCACCCTCACCTTCAACTCCTGTGTGCTTGTGGTGGTATAGAAAGCATAGTAGTGGGAAGGAGGCCCACCGTGCCATATGGCATGCCAAAATGCACTGTGTATGCTGAATGGCCAGTGAATAAAGGCTGGGAGTGGGACCCTAGCTCTGAAGGTAAGCCTTGCCCTCTAACCCTTGTTCAGTGCCAATTCACATAGCACTGTGATCCTTGGAACCTACCGTGTTAGTAAGTGCAGAGTGGTGTAATAGTTCTTCAACCTGACATGGATATGTTTTGCCTGTTTCTAAGCTTTTTTTTTGTACATATACTCTTTTGTATCTGTTTTCATTTTCTCAATATTATCTTTCTGCAGTTCATCCATTTTTTGACATGAAACTATGGCTTTCATTCTCCTTACTGTAACAATGTCCTATTGTATGGTGTTTTTTTAATTGCTGGTATTTCACTGTTGTTATCGGTTACCAATTGTAATTTTCTTTTTTTCTGTAAACTCTTGTCTGACATCTTTAATCGATTGATTTTTAATGGACAATTTCTCCTCTGAGTATTTACATCTCAAACAGAAATAGAAGCTAGACTTCCTGTCATGTTATCTCTGTGTTTAGCTCTGTCCTTTCTTTTTTACTTAATCCCCAGCCTTTTGTTTCTGTAAAAGAATTCCAACTTCTCTGTTCTCTTTTCATCCACTCCTACTTGCGAGTCTAAAGTATAAAAAAATATTTTCCTGCATCTTGTGAGATGCATAGTCCATAGTATTTTTTGGACTTCCCGTAGATTCTGATGCTGTTTAAAATTAGTAACTATTATAAGATGCTGCATATGTGTGCCATTCATTCCCATCTGGTATTTCACTTCTGTTTGAACTTTCTCGGTCACAGATACATAAGGTTTGGCTGTGTTTTGCACTCAGTCCAAGGTCGTCATGTATAGAGACAGCCCAGGATCCTACCTGACCACTGCAGTGATGTATGTAGGTCTCTGTATACATGTTCCGCATTCTTCTCCATTTGCTACAGAATCAACTTATTTCTTGTTTCCAAATGATGTGAGCAGAGATCTAGTTCATGCTAGTTTCAATTTTCTTGTGCTATTCTTGGACTCCCAATTTTACCTGTGGATCTCTTGGTAGAATTACACTTCTAAACCATATGTCTTGTGTGTGCCTCTGTTTTTAACCTGAAAAACAGATTAAACCTCCCTCTAACACATATCTGGCTGACTCTATGTCTTTAAGACATCAGGAGGTTTTATACAGTAGAATCTTCAGGGTCCCAACTGGAACATAGTCTAGATTTGATATCTGCAGTGTTTCTTCATCTTAATTCTTAGTGTTAGTTCTTCCTCCATACCCAGAGGGGAAAAAAATCAATAGAGCAAGATAGTACTTAAGGATAAAAGGAGTGGGACTGGGATCCTCCCCTTTACAACCTAGTAGACTCAGTTCTTTATTTAAGTGATAATTAAGAAAAATAATGCATGTTTAAGGAAAACTCAATTTTTTATTTCGGCGACAAATGAGGAACAGAATATAAGTTTAAAGATATCTCCTTTTCTCTGAGCAAATATAGCATATTGGACCCTATACTACTTTCCAGCCTCCACACAGCATGATTAGTACTTAGCTTCTTTTGGTGTTTTGTTTGTAAAATTGGGGCAGACTTTTTAATATGGTTAGTACAGGAGACCTTTTTTTTTAAACAGGTATTTATTCTAACTTTCTTTTTCCTGGTGCTTATTGAATGTAATCATAGGTTCTTATCAAAGATGTTATTAGGTGTTGCTGGGTCAAGTACGACTCATAGTGTATGAACAACAGCTCTGAACCATCCTCATCATCTCTGACACACTTGAGCCTATTGCTGCAGTCACTGTGCCAATCCATCTTGTTGAGGGTCTTCTCATCCTTTTTTACCCATCATACTCTAGCATGATATCTTTTCCCAAGGAATAACCTCTCTTAGCAACATGCTCAAAGTATGAGATAGAAAGCTTTGTGATCTTTGCCTCCAAGAAACACTCTGGCTGTGCTTTTCCCAAGAATATCTGTTTATTCAGTTTGTTAGTGTGGGAGATATTCAGCACTCTTCCCCAACACCCCAACTCAAAGATATCCATTACTCTTCTGTCATCCTTATTCATTGTCCAGTTCTCAAATGCACAGCAAATGATTGAAAAGATCATGGCCTGAATGATGCACCTTAATCTTGCTAAGTAATTTGATGAGGTTCCTGATAGTGGACATGCCCAATGCAA